ATCTTTAAAAAAAAAAAAAAAGCTAACATATCATTTCAAATGTGGTAACAGAAAGCAGATGATAAGAGAAAAAATTAGGATATGGGCCCTAGCATGGAAGGATTTACAAAACGGATTTTTAAATCTTGCTGTTTCAAGAACCATTTACAGTGTGCCTGACTTGACACAGATGCATTTCCTTAAAAACATACTGAAAATTATTTTTTGTGACTCACAATTTCCTTACTTATATAATTTCAAAAACCCTCATATTCAACTGGGATTGACCTTTCAATTTACAACAACTGATAATTAACTTCTAGCTATTTGATCTGGAGAAACAAGAGAAGCAAATTCAGATGTTCAAGGATGCCCCTAGAAAATGTGCAGAAGTAGTTAAGAGCAAGCTATCAGTGTTCTCTAAAACAGGGACTTCAGGGCGCCTGGGTGGCTCAGTTGGTTAAGTGATTGCCTTCAGCTCAGGTCATGATCCTGGAGTCCCAGGATTGAGCCCCACGTCGGGCTTCCTGCTCAGCAGGGAGTCTGCTTCTCCCTCTGACCCTCTTCCCTCTTGTGCTTTCTCTCATTCTCTCTCTCTCTCAAATAAATAAATAAAATCTTTAAAACAGGGACTTCAATTTATTAAAGGAGTTATAGCAGTGATTACCTTTTTCTAGAGTCTTTCTCTTAGGACCTTCTAACTCAGAGACCATTTCTCAGATAGCCAGACAAATTTTTCTTACATGAAATTTAAGGTTGCTAGCAGTGATAACCATATTCAATGTTATTTTTAAGAAAGTATGTCTCTTTCCTAAAACCATGTAACTAGCCACAAAATTGTTCTATGTGAAGCTTACTAATTATTAACAAATTTATGAAATTCAAACTACTTCACAGTAATTAAAGCTCCTAATGAGTGGGGGGAATCCAGCTTTCTCATTCAGTTCCTTCCTCCAAGCTAGAATACAGATTCATCTCAAATAGATGTTTCAAACTAAACAATAATTAAATGCCTGACTTTAACTCTAGAAGTTGAGTTAGAATAATATAACAGCTGATAGTAATTTAAGATTGGCTTATGTCAAAAGGATTACGTTTCTACCTTGGGTTAATTCAGTCATGTGATCTTTGAAATAACTTTTTTTTTTAATCTTAGGTTTAAAACCATAGGATTCTACAGGACCCAATGCTAATTGGTTGCTGTTCTCACTAGTTTTTTTAAAAACTGAAATCACGGGGTACCCGGGTGGCTCAGTTGGTTAAGCGACTGCCTTCGGCTCAGGTCATGATCCCTGGGTCCTGGGATCCAGCCCCGCATCAGGCTCCCCGCTCGGCCAGAAGCCTGCTTCTCCCTCTCCCCCTCCCCCTACTTGTGTTGCCCCTCACACTCTCTCTCTATTAAATAAATAAAATGTTTAAAAAAAAACTGAAATCACTTGGTCACATAAACCAATGACAAGTCAAAAGCTTCAAAAGGAGGGGTGCCTGGATGGCTCAGTCAGTTGGGTGTCTGCCTTCGGCTCAGGTCGTGATCCCGGGGTCCTGGGATCGAGCCCCATATCGGGCTCCCTGCTAAGCAGGGAGTCTCCTTCTCCCTCTGCCTGCCTCTCTGCCTACTTGTGCTCTCTCTCTGTCAAAAAAATAAACAAAATCTTAAAAAAAAAAAGCTTCAAAAGGAAAAATCTATAGAAGCACTACATTTCAGTACATAATTTATTCCTCCATCCCCCCAAAAAAGCCATCATCTAGGTTACTTATAGGACACTGTTACTATTACTATGTAATACAGAAAAACCTTAATACCATCGACACTGTAGCACATATCCACATGCAAACAAAAGCTTTTCAGTGTAAAAGATTTAATAGACTGTCAGTGGGCTCTACATTCAACTTCTGACATAAAGAGTGTCAATTTAGTGCAACATTGTTTAAATTCACTTTTAAGATGATTTTAACTTAGGGACACCTGGCTGGCTCAGTTGGAAGAGGATGTAGCTCTTGATCTCAGGGTTGTTTGAGCCCCACGTTGGGTGTAGAGATTACTTAAGTAAATAAATACACAAATTTTTTTAAAAAGAAAAAAGGGGACACCTGAGTGGCTCAGTTGGTTAAGCATCTGCCTTCAGCTCAGGTCACAATCCCAGGGTTCTAGGATAGAGTCCCACATCAGGCTCCTTGATCAGCAGGGAGCCTGCTTCTCCCTCCATCTGCCATTCCCCCTGCTTGCGCTCAAGCTCTCTCTCTCTCTCTCTGACAAATAAAATCTTTGGGACGCCTGGGTGGCTCAGTCGGTTGTGCATCTGCCTTCAGCTCAGGTCATGATCCCGGGGTCCTGGGATCGAGCCCCACATCGGGCTCCCTGCTCAGCGGGGAGTCTGCTTCTCCCTCTGCCTGCCGCTCCCCCTACTTGTGTGCGTGCTCTCTGTCTCTCAAATAAATAAATAAAATCTTTTTTCAAAAAAATCTTTAAAAATAAATAAATAAATAAAGATGGGGCACCTGGGTTGCTCAGTCGGTTAAGCGTCCAACTTCTGATTTCAGCTCAGGTCATGATCTCACGTTTCTGAGACTGAGCCCTGAGCTGGGCTCCATGACCAGCGCAGAGCCCCCTTAAGACTCTCTCTCGCAGGGGTGCCTGGGTGGCTCAGTCATTAAGCATCTGCCTTCGGCTCAGGTCATGATCCCAGGGTCCTGGGATCGAGCCCCACATCGGGCTCCCTGCTCGGTGGGAAGCCTGCTTCTCCCTCTCCCATTCCCCCTGCTTGTGTTCCTTCTCTCTCTGTTTCTCTGTCAAATAAATAAATAAAATCTTAAAAAAAAAAAAAAAAGACTCTCTCTCTCAGGCGCCTGGGTGGCTCTAACGCTTAAAGTGTCTGCCTTCAGCTCAGGTCGTGATCTCAGGGTCCTGGGATCAAGTACCACATCAAGCTCTCTGCTCAAAGGGGAGTCTGTTTGTCCCTCTCACTCTCCCTTTGTGTGCTCACTCTCTCTCTCAAATAAATAAGTAAAATCTTTAAAAAAGAAAAAATTCTCCCTCTCCCTCTGCCCCTCCCCCTTTAAAAAAAAAGATGATTTTAACTGAGCACTATGTGCTTCTGTATTTTAGTATATTTTAGAAAGATAACTTCAGGGCGCCTGGGTGGCTCAGCTGGTTAAGCAACTGCCTTCGGTTCAGGTCATGATCCTGGAGTCCCGGGATCGAGTCCCACATCGGGCTCCCTGCTCAGCAGGGAGTCTGCTTCTCCCTCTGACCCGCTTCCATCTCGTGCTCTCTATCTCTCATTCTCTCTCTCAAATAAATAAATAAAATCTTAAAAAAAAAAAAGAAAGAAAGATAACTTCATGAGCTCTAACCTATAGAACTGCAACTACAAATAAATGGTGCAGGAATTCAGAACATACTTTACATTCAGACTTTAAATCCAAAATACGAATTATGGTTCTTAAGTTCTGGAAAGCTTTGGAAACAAACAATAAAAATAAATAAATTTCCTTGTAAGCAGCTTAAGATTCCTCCAAAATGTTGAAACAAAAAACAGCCTTGAGTACAATCTTATGCTACTTCAATACAAATAAACACACTTATTAATGCTTGGAATGAAATCATCTACGTCACTCCACCTGAATGCAACAATGCATTTGCAAAGCTGTTCTGAAGCTACTCCAAACTAAACCACATTGAAAAGGAGGCCGTGTAACATACTGTGTTGTCAAATCACTGTTGTATACCTAAAACTAAAGTAACATTGGGGAGCCTGGGTGGCTCAGTCGTTAAGTGTCTGCCTTCCGCTCAGGGTCCTCGGATGGAGGCCCGCATCGAGCCCCCGGGCATCGAGCCCCCACATTGGGCTCCCTGCTCCGCGGGAAGCCTGCTTCTCTCTCTCTCACTCACCGCCCCCCCCCCCTCCTTGTGTTCCCTCTCTCGCTGTCTCTCTGTCAAATAAATAAATAAAATCTTAAAAAACAAAAAAAGCTAAATTAACATTGTGTCAACTACACTTCAATTTAAAGAAAAGGGGGGAGCCTGTATGAAGTAAGCATGTTATGTGAAATGTTCCATATTGGCCCCCAAATTAAAAAAAAAGAAGAAGAAGAAGAAAGTTACAGCTCATTATTAGTATGTATTCTGCAAGAATAATATAAAGGGATGTCAACACAGACAAATGACACAAACATCACAGACTTCAGAAAGCCTATTTTCACAACCTTGCATATTAAGTGAGGTTGTTATGAAGTTAGATGAGTTGAGGTACAGGCAAAACGCTAGCACAGTTGCTTGGCTCATAGTGAACCTTCAGTATCATTAACAAGTATCTATCAGCTATCTATGAAAACACAGTTTCAAACCCTGTCTATAACGAACCACAAATTCCTTTCTGGGCTCGACTTCTATGGACTGGGAAAACAGCAACTTAATGAATAAAACACAGTCTTTAAACTCCCCATCCCGAAAACCAAAAAGGTACAACAAACTGTTTTCAAAAACTATACTGGGGTGTCACAAACACAAGTTCACATGATAAAAAGTCTGGTAAACTGGTTAGCATTCTCATTAGGACCAAAGTCAGCTAACTCAGGGACAGTTAAAGGTCAAAGGCGTCCCAGCCGGGAACGATCTGCTCCACTTAACACGGTCCCTGCCTCCCAAAGACCAGGGGACTGAACCAAAGGCAGGCGCGGCCGAAGTGCAAGCGAGGACAAACCTGGTTAGACATCGCCCTAGGGGATTTCCTCCAATACTAAAGCCGCTTCCACCTCCGCTCCAGCGACTCACAGGCCCCCTCGGATCTCAAGAGTTCTAGACCCCCATTCTCCCCAAGCGCGGGAGCGCCGCCCTCGGCCCGAGACCTCCGCCCCGCGTGCCCGCAGCGAAGAGGCGAGTCAGCGCGCGCGCGCCGTCCCTGCAGGGCCGCCCTCCGCCCCCCAGCCTCCACCCCTCCACCCCCTGGCGCCTGGGCCCGGGAAGATGCGGCCCGGGCTCCCGCTCCCCCACCGCGGGCCCCGCGGCCTGGGCAGGATACTGAACACAGTCCGCTCCCAGGGCTCCAGCATGTAGAGCGCCGTGACCAGCAGATACTGGTAGTAGAACCAGGACATTTGTTTCCAGGCCCGCGCCAGCGCCATCCCCGCCGCGCGCCTCCGTCGTTGAGGCAGAGCGTCAGTCTGTCCGGCCGGCCTCCGGTTAGCGTCCTCCAGCCCCAGGCCGCGAGGCCCGCCCGCCCGCCACCGTGCGCCTATTGGCGAGTCCAGCCCGGCGCGTCACCCGTGGGCACGCCCAGCCCCGCGCGCTCCCGGGCAGCCGGCTGCGAGCCCCGCCCGGCCGGCGCTCATTGGCCCATCCGCGGCCACGCGTCGCACCCGCCCGCTCCCCGGTTTCGCCCTCTCGGGGCCGCGCCCACGGGAGCGGGAGAACCGTCCGCGCGAGAGCGCCCCGCCGCGCCCTGCTCGCCGCGCCCTGCCCGCCCCGCCTCGCCTCGCCCGCCCCGCCTCGCCTCGCCAGGCCGTTGGTGGGCGGGGATTTAATCCCCGGTGGGGTCGCGGCGCGGGAGCCGGCCGAGGCCGCCCCGGGGTGGCAGGTACCTGCAGTGGGGCCCAGAAACGCTCGTCGAAAACATATTTGTGGAGTATCTGGCATCCTGCTGGGCAGGGGGATTGCAGGGGTGAACAGGAACGTAGGAGGTTCCTCACCTAGCGCAGTGTATGATCTAGCGGGGGAGACGGGCACTGACCACACGAATGCAAGTCAAGCTGGGATCGGTGCAGAGACGGAGAATAAGGTGCTGTGAGGGTGGCGAGGCGAACGTCCGCTAGTCAGGGAGGTCAGGGAAGTCGTCTCTGAAGAAGTGATGCACACATTGCCTCCTTCGTCCCTGCCCCATCCACGGCGCGCGCGCACACACACACACACACACACATGAACACACCCACATCGACCTACATACCCACCCCATGCACTCCTTAACCTAAAGACAAGGAGAGATTACCTTGAGTATGTCTATCCGCATACCTCTTTCAGTGGCCATAGGCACCCTGTAGCTGAAGGCCAGGAAAAGGCCGCGGATCTGGTGGGTTCTGTAGATGACAGCCTGCTTGAGATCCGTCTCTAGGCTGATGATACCTCCTGGAGAAGCACTTTTAAATGTCCAGATCTTCCCACTGACAAATGGGCCAGCACTGTTGCACTCACCTTCAGGAACAAGATAAACAGCATGTGAAATGACAGTTAAATGGCCTGCTGTTTAAATGTTAAAAAGTTTCTTTTAAATATCCTACAGCTTACACTTTAAAACTTTCATGGTTGATAACTTTTTATTTATTCATTTAGAAGTATCAGCTGCTGTTTATGAGCTAAATATTGGGGACAGCCGGCTAGACTGAGATCTGCCTTCATAAAGTACCCAGTCTACTAAGGATGAGAAGCAAGTTAACTGATGACAGTGAGATGTAGTAAAGGGTATTTTTATGTTATGTGTAGGCTGCCATGAAAGCCCGGAGAAAATCAGATTGGGGGTGTAAAAGGCTTCTGGGAAATGGTACTTGAGCTTAGTATTGAAGGAAAAGTAGAAATGGCAGAATGAATGAGTTTGGAGAGGAGAGGGTGGGACGGATATTCCAAGCACAGGCACATGGAACCACTATAGGAAGGTGTGATGCTTTTAAAGGGCTGGAAGAACTTTCATGTGGTTGAGGCAAAAAAAATTTGTAGTCAGCAGGAGATGGAGCTGGATAGTAAACAGGGACCATATCCTGAAGGACCTTGTGTAAGAAGCAAAGGAATTTTTGCCTGGATATACAAAAGTTAAAAGAGCCAATGGCTTAATAAGATTAAACAAGACTTGGGGGTGGGCAGAAGCCTAGAAGATACTAAGAAAAAGAGGATCGGGTTGGAGACATTACAGAGGCAGAACCTGTAAATGGAGCAACTGTAACCCATACTCACTCCGGGTCTCCTTACCCTTGAGAGATCCACGTACATTGGGCCTTCCCATTTCCGAATCTTACTGTGCTAGGCTTCTCTCTCCCCATTCCTCTCTGAAGTATTTCTTTTCAGATCTGTTTGGGTATGTGCAAGCTTTGGTCCTTTTTCTTCAAGAACTCCAAATACCTCAGCACTTAGTGATGCTCAATTAAGTTTACCCAGGATTGGAAGCATCATCCATAGCTACCCTTCCCTCACTGGGCCAGCTCCCTGATTGCCATTGCTACCACATGGTTCTCCCCAGTGTAGGTAGCTCCTCAATCCACGGCATATCTTTGGGAGTACAGCCCTACCAAGCCAATCGGCATCCCTCAACTTCCCTGGGAATCTAGGGCACAAAAATTCCTTCATCTTACTATTACTGACAACTGACTAGAAATGGGGAAAAGAGACTAGGATCCCGGATGCTGACAATATTCACAAAGAATCCAGGGGAAGAAGCTTGGCTGAAAAGACATGAATTCTGTTAGGATGACGCTGAGTCTGAGGGACCTGAGGGACATTTAAGTGGAGGTGTCCAGTGGGCAGTTAGGCATATGCGCCTAGAACTCAGAAGAGAAGCCCAAACAGGAGCTAGAGTCTTGTGAGTTTTCAATAAGCCCCTAGTAATTGCAGCTGTGATTGCAGATAAGTTCACCCAGGGAAAGCACACAGCGTGAGAAGAACAGAGTACAGAATAAACCCAGCCACTCAGGCATTTAGGGGATGAGAGTCCAAAGGGAGCCAATAAATGGCACTCAAGAGGAGCTGAGATTTGGTAGCAAAGAGGAGGGACCTATAGGAGAAGCCAAGAAAAGAAGGGACAGCCAGGAGATCAAGTGGCTCAGGGAGGGCAAGAGAAATGAGGAAGGGAAGGACCAATTTGTTTTGTCCACTTGGGGCTCAACTGATGACTCATTCATTGTGGAACGATAAGGGCAAAAACCGGATTAGAGAGCGAGCGGGGGAAGTCAGAAGAGAAGTGAGCTAATCAGATTTATCTTTGCAGGAAGCTTGCCTGTGAAGAGAAAAAGATAGGATGGTAGCCAGGGTTTTTGTTTGGTTTGATTTTCAGATGGGAGAGGTGTGAGCAAGTTTATGGGCTTAAAGATACAGGTGAAGATGGTGAGCTGGGGGATCAGATGTAAAGCTTTAAGAAACTGGAGCCAATAGCTCTTTTCCTGAGAGGGGAAGGAGGGAAAGCTGAGACTCAGAGGGACGTAAACACAAAAGAGTACGTTAAGGAACTCCCTACTTTGCAGCCTCAGTTTTCTTAGAGAAAAAGAAAGGCCTTTTCTAAAGTAAGGTCCTCTGTTGAGAGTGAGCAAGATACTGAGGTGGAGGGTTTGAAAAAGAAAAAGGGGAGTGGGAGAAGCTCTCTAAAGCTTCTTAGGGATTGGCAAGCAAAAAAAATCGTATAATTTTCCCCAGCGATCCACAAGGACCCCGATAAAGAACTGGAGAGGATGAATTAGGAGACTTGCTCCAAGGTGGCGTCTTGCTGGCTGAGTACAAGAGAGAAACAAAGAAGCAAGACGGTTGGTGGGGAGGGAACAATCCTAATAGCGGCGGTGAGAATTGGGTCAGAGTTCCTTTTGGCTTCAATCGCTTCTCGGCCTTTTGGCTAAGATCAAGTGTAACAGAGTCATACCTAATCTGTAAAGCTACTCTGTCCACTTAGACTTTGAATGTCACTCTTTGTCACAGCTCCTCAAGAGTCTCCTCTCTCCCCACACCCCCATCTTCCCTGCACCGTCCATTACATTCTCAGGCAATCATTCTTCCCCTATTTTTCCCCTCAAATCCTTTTCGGAATAATAGTATAAAAAACTCTATCAAGCTATCTTCCCTTTGCTGTTAAGTTGTGGTGATACCCTGGGCCACCACTTCCTCTCTTCCAGTATGTCAACACCTATTCTCACCCACCCCTCCAAAATGTAGAGTCTGGGCTCTACCTCCACCCCCAACTAAGACGGGTTACTCAAGTTTACCAAATCCAATGCAAATTAATCATTCCTCTTCTTACTCAGCCTCTCTCTGTGTAGCATTTGACACTGCTGAACATTTCCAGCTTCAGAAACTCCTCCACAGTCTTGGTTTCTACCACCCTGCCTTATCCAACCTTCTCTGGGGAGTTCTCACAGAGTACTCTTTGATAAACCCTGTTTTCTCTCCCATCCCTAAAGACTTGCTGACCCCTCTAGCTCTCTCCATTGATGCCTGGTTCCTCAGTTGTCTCATCCCACTTAGATCCCAAATGTCACTTCAAGTCTTTATTCTAACTGCTGGCAGAATATATCTTAATATAATTAAAATAATAAAGGTTATCATTAACATAATTGTCTAGTCCTTCCCTTTTCAAATTTCAAAGTGCTTTCACATCATCTCATTTCCTCATAAAGAGCAAGCACAACCCCTATTTAATAATTATAGACGCTGGAGTTCAGAGACCAATTCAAGTCCAAACTAATCTGCACCTTCTTTCTTACCTCACTTTCTTAATCTCTGTTAATGGCAAAAAGTATCTCAATCTCCAGGGCAGAAACCTTGTACCAGTTTTAATTCCCCTCTCTTCTCCCCACCCCTGATTTCTGTCCCTAAGTAATATGGAATCTTTCTCCCAAGTATCTCAGGTTTGCCTTCTTTGGTCGGATCTGCCATTTTAGAGATCCACACACAACTTCACTCTAACAAGATAACAAACCGACTACTGTCATCCCAACTTGGCTTACCAGCTACCACTGGCAATTCCTGCTTGCTAACCACGTACTTGAGTTCCAAGAAAACTTTCATCCTGAAAATCCTTTTAATTTATGAGAAAAGAATGACAGGTTTTTTTTTTAAGATTTTATTTATTTATTTATTTGACATAGCGCGAAAGAGCACAAGCAGGAAAAGCAGCAGAGGGAGAAGCAGGCTCCTCGCTGAGCAAGGACCCCGAAGCGGGACTCAATCCCAGGACCCTGGGATCATGACCTGAGCTGAAGGCAGACGCTTAACCGACTGAGCCACCCAGGCATCCCAAGAATGACAGGTTTTCAAGAACCTATCCCATGTTTTTTACCTCCTGAACGTTTTCACTTAAATCATCCCTTCAGTTAAAATGAGCCAGTCATGGGGCACCTGGGTGGCTCAGTTGTTAAGTGTCTGCCTTCAGCTTGGGTCATGGTCCCAGGATCCTGGGATCGAGCCTCCCTGCTCTGTGGGAAGCC